AAGAATTATGAGATATTTGGTTAATAAGGAAAGATGGTTCTGTTTTATTCTCCCCCTCCCCCACTTTGGATTTTGGTTAAGAGAATTCTTAAGCATTGTTCTGAAATTCAGGCTGGGTTACATCTCCCCCTTCTGTGTTTCCATATTGCTTCTGTCTCTGTTTAATTTTCAAGTGATCTTGACACCATGTCAGGCATTGCTTTAGATAAAGGTACAAGTAAATATTTTTTAACTGAAGAAAAAAAAATGTATGTACATCTAATGAAGCTTTCAGATGCAAATACAATCATAGCCATCATCTTCAATGAAAATTCATAAGACTCCTAGAGCCACAGTAAAGCTCTCTTTGGATTCCTGACACACAAAAATTAAGAAATGATAAATGTTTTTTTGTTCATTTACTTTATTAAGTTAAAACATGTGTAACTAATTGTACCATTTCAACCCTTTAAGTGTGGATCTCAGTGACACTAGTTAGATGTACATTGTTGTTAAAGTAATGATGATTATCCATCCCCAGAATATTGTATATCATCAAAACCAAACTCCATGTCCTTCTTCAAGAAGAAAAGAAAAGAAATATCCCATTTCTGTCCACCCACCTCTGAAATGGAACTGGTATCTTTTTACTTTGCCTATGTTCTCTTGGTCAGTTTCATTCCCCCAACAACTATTTTCCCGTCCTCCTTCCTCCCCCTCAATCCCTTTCTTCTATTCCACTGATATCTCTTGTAATTTCATGAAATGCCAACACACTCCTCTCCTCTTATTTTGTTCTTCCTTCTGCATAGGGGAGAAAACATTTGACCTTTGATTTTCTGGGTGTGGCTTGTTTCACTGAGCATGATTTTCTACCATTGCATCTATTTAGCAGTAAATGCCACAATCTCATTCTTCTTTTCAGCTGAGTAAAATTCATGTGTGTGTGTGTGTGTGTGTGTGTGTGTGTGTGTGTGTGTGTGTGTGTATTACATTTTCTTTCTTCATTCATCTGTTGACAGGTATCTGGATTGGTTCCATAGCTTGGCTATTGTTGATTGTGCTACTATAAACTCTGATGTGACTGTATGTTGATAGTATGTTTATTTTAGATATATACCATGGAGATGAGTGGGAAAGCTTGGACAGATACTGGCTGCATTCCTACTTTTTTTAAGGAATCTCCATACTGCTTTATAGAGTGGTTGTATTAATTTGCAATACCACCAACAATGTATCAGTGTATTTTATTTCCATACCCTCACCAGAATTTAATAAGATTTGTATGCTTTTTAAAGTTTTTATGTATTCTGAATAATTGTCATTCTGACTTAAATTCCTTTGCTGTACACAAAGTAGAGTCACATCCTTCATGTCTTCATACATGTTCTTAGGGGAATATTGATCATCACATCCCACTATCTTTCCTACTTTATGTACAACCATAGATATGAAAAATTGTGCTCTAAATTCTGTTATCATATATAACAAATTAAAATTAAAAAGAAAATGATAAAAAAAGAGTATTATGAGACATTTTGCCTGTTTTAATTTTTATTTATTATTATCACTTGACCATCCTCATCCTACTCTTCTCAAAAATAAACAAATGGTTACCATAAAAATTCCTTTGCTGTATAGAAGACTTTTAATTTGATATGATCCAATTTATTGATTTTTGGTTTTATTTCTTGCACTTTAGGAGTCTTGTTAAGGAAGACAGTACCAATACATTGAAAGTTTGAGCTCACATTTTCTTCTAGCAATTGTAGATTTCCTGATCTAATTCCTAGGTCTTTGATACACTTTGAGTTCAGTTTTGTGCAGGGGGACATATAGAGTTCTAGTTTCATTCTTCTACATATGGATATCCAATTTTTCCAGCAACATTTGTTTTAAAAGGCTATCTTTTCTATTTTCTTTCTTTCTATGCTTTTAGCATCTTTGTCTAGTATCAAATGACAGTATCTATGTAGGTTTTTCTCTGTATCTTCTATTACATTTGTTTTCATGTATAACTTGTTGACTGTACCATGATGTAGTATAATTTGAAGTTTGGTATACTTCCCCAGTATTGTTTTGGCTATTCTTGATCTCTTAGTCTTACAAATAAATTTCAGTACTGATTTTTCTAGTTCTTTGATGAATGTCATTGGTATTTTGATGAAAATTACATTGAATCTGTACAATGCTTTTGGTAGCATGGCTGTTTTGATAATATTAAGTCTGCCTATAAATGAACATGGAATATCTTTTCATCTTCTAAGATTTTCAATTTCTTTCTAACATGTTTTATAGTTTTTATTGTAAAGGTCTTTCACCTTAATGGTTAGATTTATTCTTTTTCAGCATATTCATTATTGAAGTACAGTAAAGCAATGTTGTATAATATTTCTTCCATTGGAAAAGTTAATCCATCAAATTCACTGTCTTTCCTGTGGCACCTGCAAATTTCTCTAAAATAGATCATATTTTAAGGCACAAAACAAATATTTTCAGATACAAAAATAATGAGAAAATTTCTTGCACCCTATCAGATAATAATGGAGTGTAATTAGAAATCAATGATAAAAACAAAAACCATTCTACCACCTATAGATTAAATAATACATATTTGAATGATGAAGGGATCAAAAAAGAAATCAAGGGGGAACAAATTTTTACCCCTCACACATCAGATAGAGCACTAGTCTCTAGGATAATAAAGAACTCAAAAAGCTAAGCACCAAAAAATAAATAAAAATAAATAAACCAATCAACAAATGATGGGCCACAGATTTGAACAGACACTTCTCAGAAGAGGATATACAATCAATCAACAAATATATGAAAAAATGCTCATCATCTCTAGCAATCAGAGAAATGCAAATCAAAACTACTCTAAGATATCATCTCACTCCAGTCAGAATGGCAGCTATTATGAAGACAAACAACAATAAGTGTTGGAGAGGATGTAGAGAAAAAGGTACACTCATATATTGCTGGTGGGACTGCAAATTGGTATAGCCAATATGGAAAGCAGTATGGAGAATCCTTGGAAATCTGGGAATGTAACCACCATTTAACCCACCTATCCCCCTCCTTGAACTATACCCAAAGGACCTAAAAACAGCATACAACAGGGACATAGGCACATAATATTTATAGCGGCACAATTCACAATAGCTAAACTGTGGAGCCAACCTAGATGCCCTTCAGTGGATGAATGGATAAAAAAATGTGGCATATATACACATAGGAATTTTACTAAGCATTAAAAGAGAATAAAATCATGGAATTTGCAGGTAAATGGATGGTGTTGGAGAAGATAATACTAAGTGAATTTAGCCAATCTCAAGAAAACAAATGCTGAATGTTTTCTCTGATATAAGGAGGCTGACTCATAGTGGGGTAGAGAGGGGGAGCATGGGAGGATTTGATGAATTCTAGATAGGGAAGAGGGGTGGGAGGGAAAGGGAGGGGCAGGCGATTAGCTAGAGCAGTAGAATGTGATGGGCATCATTATCCAAAGTACATGTATGAAGGCTCGAATTGTGTGTCAACATACTTTATATATAAACAGAGATATGAAAAATTGTGGTATATATGTGTAATAAGAATTGTAATGCAAAAAAACAAAGTACATGTATAAAGGCATGAATTGGCGTGAACATACTCTATATACAATGATATGAAAAATTGTACTCTATATGTGTAATAAGAATTGTAATGCATTCTGATGTTGTATTTAAAAAATAAAATGAATAAAACAAAAAAAAAGTGAGAAGAAATCACAGGGAAAATTTTAAAAATTTTGAAAAGAATGAGAATAGATATAAAACATACTAAAATCTCTGGGAGAGTATGAAGGCAGTTTGTAAGGGAAGTTTATAGCACTGAATCCCTACATTTAAAAAAACAGAAAATATCCCAAATAAAAAACTGAACATAAAGGTTATAGAAAAGAAGAATAACCTAACACCCAAATCAGTAGAAAATGGGAAATAATATTAGAATGGAAATTAATGAAATTGAGAATTTTAAAAAAACATGAAAAGGATCAAAGAATCAAAGAGTTGGTTCTTTGTAAAGATAAACAAGATTGATAAATTTTAGCCAAACCATAAGAAAGAAAGACAAGATATAAATCAACAAAATTAGAGATAAAAAAGGAAATATCTCCACAGAAACATCTAAAATTCAGAATATCATCAGAAACTATTTCTACTCCAATAACCTAGAAATTCTTGAAGGTACTGATAAATTTACAAACATATGACCTACATAATTTGAACCATGAGAACATAGAAAACTTAATCAGATTGATGTCAAACAATGAAATTGAAGCAGCTATAACATCCTTCCAATTAAAAAAAAAAATCACAGGACCGGATGGATTCTCAGCCAAGTTCTACTAGAACTTCACAGAACTAATATCAATCCTCTTCAAAGAATTCCATAAAAATAGGAAAAGAGGGAAGACTTTCAAATTCATTGAATAAAGCCAGTATCACATTGGTACCAAACCAGACAAAGACACATAAGGGAAAGGAAACTATAGGCTGATATTCCTGGTGAATATAGGTGAAAAATCATTAATAAAACACTGGCAAACTGCATTCAAAAACATTAAGAAGATAGTACACCATGATCAAATGGGTTTCAATCCATGGATGCAAGGTTGGTTTAACATAGGCAAATCAAAAAATGTAATTTGGGGCTGGTGATGTGGCTCAAGCGGTACTGCGCTTGCCTGGCATGCATGTGGCCCGGGTTTGATCCTCAGCACCACATACTAACAAAGATGTTGTGTCTGCCGAAAACTAAGAAATAAATATTTTTTTAATTCTCTCTCTTCTCTCTCTCTCTCTCTCTCTCTCTCTCTCTCTCTCTCTCTCTCTCTCTCTCTCATCTATCTCTTAAAAAATGTAATTCACCATATAAACAGAGTTAAGGCAAGAATCACATGGTTGTCTCAATGGATAAAGAAAAAGCATTTGACAAACTTCATCACACATTCATGTTTAAAACTCTAGAGAAAGTATGGATGGAAGGAAACTACTTCAACATTGTAAATGATATATATTACAAACCAAAGACCATCCTCATACTAAACAGAGAAAAACTGAATTTCCATAAAAACAAGAACAATATAAGGATGGGGGTATTTTTTATATTCTTGATTTTAATACTCTGTTAGATGACTATATGGCAAAGATGCTCTCCAATTCTGTAGGCTTTCTCTTCAATCTATTGGTTGTTCCATTTGCTGTTAAAAACTTTTTAATTTTAAATATTATCATCTGTCAGTTCTTGCCATTATTTCCTGAGCTATTTAAGTCCTGTCTAGGTTATCTTTGCCTATACCTATATCTTGAAGTGTTTTGTCCAAGTTGTCCTCTAGTTGTTTCAAAGTTCCAGGCCTTACATTAAGGTATTTGAGTCATTTTGGTTGAACTTTAGTTGATTTTTGTAAAGTAAGTTGATTTTTGTACAGCATAAGTGATAAGGTCTAGTTTAAATATTCTGTGATTTAAATTCAATTATCCTATTACCATTCACTGAAGAGGCTGTATTTTTTTAAAATGTATTGACTAGTTTGCTGAGAATCCAATGGTTGCACATATTTGGGTTTATTCTTTGGTCCTCAATTCCACTGGTGTATGTATCCATTTTCATGCCAATACCATGCTTTTATATATTACAATGTCACACTAATATAATTTAAAGTTGGGTATTGCAATTCTTCCAGCACTGTTTTTGCTCAGAATTGCTTTGGCAATTTGTAGTCTTTTATGCTTTCATATAAATTTTTTAGTGCTTTTTTTAGTGATATGAAGAATAGCATTGGCATTCCAATTTCACTGAATCTGTAGATTGATTATTATATTTATTATTATTATTATTATTATTTTAATAATAATAATTTTTCCAATCCTTAAACATGGGAAGTCTTTTAACCTGTTATTGCCTTCTTCAATTTCTTTCTTCAGTGATTTATATCTTTTATTGTAGAGGTCTTTCACTTCCCTAATTAAGGTCATTTATAGGTTTGTTTGCTGTCTTGTTTGTTTAGTAATTTTTTAAGAGTGTCTTTCTCTGCTACCCAGCCTAGTCTTGAATTTGTGGATCCTAGTGATCCACCTGCCTCAGTTTTGTGAAAACTTTTATTTTTTAAAATATTTTTTTTAGTTTTCAATGGACCTTTATTTTATTTATTTATATGTGGTGCTGAGAATCAAACCCAGTGCCTCACACATGCTAGGCAAGTACTCTACAACTGAGCCCCAATTCCAGCCCTTGTAAATACTTTTGACCACAGCAACACACTGCCCAAAAATATTTTGATGAAGGACTGGCAATATCACTAATCATGTGTACCCTCTGCAGGGGTTATTTTTCCTCTTATTTCTCCTATTTTGCTTACCCTCATCTCATTAAATTATTCATCTTATTCTCCCACAATCTAGACTACTAACTTCCTGATAACTACATAAAATCATGGTCCATTTTTGCAGTATTCACAACTCCTGAAACTGTTTTCAATAGTCTAAAGTTAATGAATAAGAAAATTAAGGAAGTAATGCATACCTGTTGAACATTGGCCTGAAGGAGATCTCCAAGATGCCTGACTAAGTCAGAGAAGTTGGGCCTCTTTGTGTAATCACTATGCCAGCAGTCAAGCATGGTCTGGTAGCTATAGATTGGGAAAAATGTTAAGGTAGTCTCCATCCACCAGCTCCACTTCTTTTATAACTTTTTACATGGGTGATCCATTAGGACTTGTCTTCACAATTACCCCAAAGCACATTCTCTGCTGTAGCCTTATACTACAGTTACTAATAAAGCCTGCCTAACCCATACCTGTTCCTTACATATATGTGCCCACCATTACCACTTTTTTCAGCTCTGTATGCATAAATAAATGTAAAGAATCAATTATATTTAGAAGAGAAAGGTAGCATTTAGTTCTGTCATGTACTCCTTTATCAGTACAAGAATTGTATGAGTAGTGAGAGCATTGCATTTTATGAGGCTAACTATCAACAAATTCTCTTGGACTTTGGGCTCTCCTCAGGATCAATTTTTGGCTTCAAGTAGCATTAGACAGCCTTGGGAAATGATATAAAAACCTCCAGTTTTATATATTTTAGTGCAAATACTGGAGTCCCAGACTATACTTTCCAATGGTTTTGATAAATAAGCCATCAACTAAGTAATGGTTGCAGTTTTACATTGAAATTACTCTTCAATGAAAACCAAAGTATTTTTGTATATATGCACAACTTTCTGGAGTGATGGTTCTTTCCATTTGCTTTTAGAACATCTTTTTAATTATGATGGATAACATCATTTTGATTATAATGGTTTTATAATCACATATAAGAATTGGATTCATTATGCCATATTTGTACATACACATAAGATAATTTGATGAATCACATTCCCCAGTATCTTTACTTTCCCTCTCTTATCTTACCAAAATCCATTTGCTCCACTCTATTGATCTTCATTCTGTTATTATTATTATTTGAATTAGTATACTATAATTATATATAATGGGATTCATTATGGTATATTCATTCATATATTTACATAGCATCATGTGATAGATTGGATTACCACTGATTTAAGTTATTTAGATTTATTTATTGAGCCAGTGAGAGATTCTGGAGATTCTTGAAATTCACTCTCAGACTTTATTTCTCCAGATTGTTTCAATTTGTGTGGCCATATCTTCTTTCAGTGCCCAGTACAGGCTGTGTCAGGAAATCACACATCTGGGCTGCAATTTTTTATTTAATAGCTGAAACATAGACTTCTATGTTTTAAATCTATGGCTAGAAAGGAACTAGCCAGTGTCCTGGTTTTATCTAATTCCTGAGTGTTTCATAATACAAATGTGATGAATATTTCACTATATGCATCTACATATGAAATTTTAATCATCTATTTCATAGTTCCCTTTGAATTATAATTATATACTTTAAGAGAGCAAAAGACAACTTTAGCATTCAACAAGATTTTTTTAAGTTGAATTTTATAACCCACTGTGCTTATGTTGATCCTTTCCTCTCAAATTAAGTAAGTCTGGTGGCTCTTCATTTGGAGAACATACATTTCAGGAGTAGAATATTCAGGGGATCTCATTCTTGTTCCCTCCTTAAGCTGACGGCAGAAGTCCTCATCTACTTGCATTCCTGGGTATGGTGAAGCTCCTGGAATAGAAGAAAAGACACATATTTTCCCATGGGTGAGCAATCTATCAAGTTCTTATGACTAAAATACCTAAAGAGAACTCTGGGAATGAACAAACAGCTCTGTATCTATGTAGAACATGAGACACAGGACTTCTGTAAAATTTCCAAATCTTGGCTGATATCTCTGTTTGAAGGTCTGACAGAAAGTATTTACCCAGAAAATTCTAATCAAAATTGCACTGATATGATAAGTGGAGGATTTAAAAAACTAATGATTGATTTTCATTGACTTCACATTTATTAATGCTTTTAATTGATATATTCAGCCATAACTCTTGTGTTTAGTCCAAGAAGTCCTACTATTTGAAGTCTCAGAAAGCTGTTCTCTTATTAATTTTTAACCTGCCATGCTCCTATGACTAAGGCATAAAGAAAAACAAGGGAGTAGAATTCTAGTCAGTGTGTGGAGGTATGCCTCCAATTTGAGAAATATAGTCCTGGTAGCATGGAAACCCAAAAGAGAAATAAGGTCTGAAAGTGAATTTCAAGTTGATAAAATGAAAACATTTACAAAATATTATGGTTAATAGTTAACTAAAGTACATTTTCCAAATTTTAATCATATTTAAAGTAGCTAAGCATATTACAAAATATGTTATAGCACAAGTTTGTACACTTATGTCAATACATAGTTTCCAAAATCACTACTGATATCTGATACATAATATTGAGTAAATACTGAAACTCTAAAATAGGTGTTCTAGGTCTTTGAGATTAAAGGTGGTATCAATATTGCCAAAATTTTATTTAAATAAACATTTGAAAATCCAAGGTGATGTGGTCATTTATACACCCCAAAAGTTTCCCAAAAAATGTTCCTGGTAGTTAAGAAATATAAATCAGAAGTGACAAAGAAAAAGCCAAAGATAAAATTAAGACTAATTCTAATAAACTATCAGATTATCAAATAGAATATACTTGGAGATGAGGAGAAATTACATTAATCATCTAGCATCAACCTTCTAACTTTTAAGAAGTATGCTATAGAAACCTGATCAGTTAGCTAATTCAAGGCAACCTGTAAGATACTCTTAATTTTAGTTACTTCTCCATTGTTGCCTGAAATGACTTATTTGGTTAGGTATACTCTTGTTATATTTTAGGCATTATAGATATAAGCACATGTCATCATCAAGGAACAATTATTTCCAACCTGTGTGTCACACAAAACCTGAGAGATTGGAGTTATAAGAATGGATCTTCATATGCTTGGGACCAATAGTCATTATCAATAGCTAAAATAATTAATGTATCATAAGTGATAATTATTTTCTAAATCATGAAAACTGATAAAATTCACAAAAGAAAATCTATTTTTTCAATTTCCTGAATTCATAATAGCTTTCTCTAATGCATACTTTCTTAACAAAGACATGCTAAGACTAAGCATCTTGATATTATAAATGTGTAATTCATTTCCTAATTTGCCTGATGTAAGTAGAAAGGTTAAAATAACATATATCAGAGTTTCCTAAGTAAATTTGTTGTAATCTCTGGAACATATTAGAGCAGAATATTTGCTATTCACTCTGGAAAATATTAGGAGTCTTTGCAAAATAGATGGTAAAGAATCATCCCTTTTAGATGTGCATTGTGTGTCACTTCAAAGAGCAGAAACATTACCTTTTGGTGTTTATGTCATAAGAATATATTGTGTATATAGTACTGGCCTTATCCTTAGGTTCACTTTGGACAGATATATATCTTTGTATGATCTGAGTATTAATAATTGACCTGTTCCTCCCCAGGAACTATATTCTAGATTACAATTTTCAGTTATGCAAATATCTTTTTAAAAATCCATCACCTAGCTGGGCATGGTGGCATATGTCAATAATCCCTGCAGCTCAGGAGGCTGAGGCAGGAGGATGGTGAGTTCAAAGCCAGCCCCAGCAATGATGAGGCACTAAGCAGCAGTGAGACCCTGTCTCTAAATAAAATACAAAATAGCGCTAGGGATATGGCTCAGTGGTTGAGTGCCTCTGAGTTCAATCTCCTCTCCAGTACCAAATAAACAACAACAAAAATCACCTAACTACCATTCTACTTTGTGCTTTAACTTACACTGTCTCCTGAAATTCTTTAATTTCTTTAATCTTTACCTTTCCCAGAAACGACTCCTCCAAACTTCATATGTATCTTCCTATCCTTAAATGTCCAACTCCACTTGTTCATTCTTTTATTTACTTATTTATTTTTCAGTTGTCAATGGATTTTTTTTTACTTTATTTATTTATGTGGTGCTGAAGATCAAACCCAGTGCCTCACACATGGTTGTGGCTCTACTACTGAGCCACAACCGCAGGCAACTTGCTCATTCTTTAAGAGAGTTTTCAGATATCATTTTTCCTCAAGAAGTAGAAACTCACCTCATCCTCCATAATTTCTCCTGCATTTTACTGAAATCTCTATTATAGGGCTTGTCACAGAATTAATTGGCTGTATTTTTTCCAAATTACCTGTAATTCCTAGAATATAAGGAACAGTCTTATCCTACAGTGATTTTAATGTGAAAGTCACACAGCAATTGTTTGTTGAATTAAATTATAAATCTAATAAAATAAACTTCTAAAGTACTTATATATATATATATTAATTTTTAATATTTATTTTTCAGTTTTCGGCGGACACAACATCTTTGTTTGTAAGTGGTGCTGAGGATCGAACCCGGGCCGCACGCATGCCAGGCAAGCACGCCACCGCTTGAGCCACATCCCCAGCCCTAAAGTATTTAATAAGTATACATATCTTTATCCTATTTTGAAATAAATACATGACAAATGATGATGTTAAATGAACATTAAATACATAGAAACAATATTCTACATTATTTTGATGTTTGAATTTTAGCAGTTACCATCAAAAGAGATATTTCATATGTAAAACCTATTGCCTGGACTTTCATTATGTTAATCACTGGGCTTGGCTTTTGAATGAAGACTATATCAAGTAAAATAACATTAATAGTTATAAATTTAACTATTATTTCTCAAAACCCATGTATATAAAAATTGTTAGTATCTTTTGTGGGCCAAAGATGTTGTGGTTATTTGGTAAGCCTACCTACTCAAAAGAGGGCCTACATGCATTCTGCTGGGGTCAACCCTTGTCACTTGATATTCCTTAAGGTGTTTTTTCAGCCAGTGGATACAAGTTCAGCCATGAGGTACAACTACAGCATAAATACTGCTTAGTGTCAAATTGGAAGTGTCATGTATATCTTTCTGCTATTTTGAGATCTACAATGAGATTGAATATACCAGATGCTCAAAGGAGAGCCCACCTATGGGCCTGTTATCCTTCCAGAATCAATACAAGTTCTCTGTTATTTCCACTATTCCAGAAGCAGAAAGATAAACCATATTCACCAGTAAAGTATATAGGGAAGCACTGCTGGTTCTGGCATCACTTTATTTCCCATATAAGCCTTTCCATATTTGATGATAGATCTAGGAGAAAGAATCTAGGAGACAGATTAAAGTAAAAGAAAATTGGAATGACAGAGAATATAGTTCTAATGACTTCAGAAACAGGCCCCCCCGAAACTCAACATCCCTAGATATTCTAGGAAAAACTGTTCTTTGGAGAGAAGTACCAGTTAAAAGCTCCAACTTTTTAATTGCCACATGGACAAAGATAATATCTTAGGAAACACTCATAATTCCTCCTGCAAGTCTAGAGAACAGATATAGTAAGAAAGCTAGGGAATTGAGGTCAACAACAACTTGTGAGTCAGTGAGAAAATATATTGGGATGTGATAACTTACATAAATTTTTTGTAAATTGTCTTGCTCTGTGGAATGCAATGGAAATACAAGGCTCTATTTTAACTTAAAGGGATGATAAGATTAATCATAGTATAAGTGGTTTTTACTTATCATGTAAATTTAAATATAAGACAGCAGCCAACAGATACTTGACCCTTCAAAACAATTCATTTTTGCTATATTTTAAAATCTCAGCTATAGTCAGTGAGTATCTTATGTACTGTAATTTAAAAGTGTAAGTCACAAAATGGGGTTTGGACAATTTATTTAAGGAAACAAGTGAAAATTCAGAAATTAATATATTCATACTCCTCAATGTGATATTTTGATAAATTACATTATGAAATGATTAAATTACACTAATAAACATAAACATTAAACTCTAAGTTAGTCAGCCTTTTGTCACTGTGACCAAAGTATCTGATAGGACAACTTTGTTTCGGAGGTTCAGTGCGTGGTTGGCTGATTCCATTGTTCTAGAAATAAGGTGAGGCAGAACATCCTGGTAGCAGGGCAGGCAGAAGAATGCTGCTCACATGAAGGTAGCCAGGAAGTAGAGAGGTAAAGCCAGGGGACAAGATATAACTCCCAATACTATACCTCTAGAAACTTATTTCCTCTAGCCATGTCCCATCTGCCTATAGTTATCACCCAGTGCAGTAATCTTTTGAACTTATCTATCATTTGAATATATCCACTGAATAGGTTATAGCTCTCATAATATAATTATTTCACCTCTGAACATTTCTTCATTGACTATCACATGAGTTTATTAGTGGATACCTTATATCCAAACCATAACAAACTATCTTTTTTTGTTAGTGGAATGTTTAGTATATGGTTTCTTAGGCATTTTAAAATAAAAATAAGATTGTTATAACTATAGCCCACACAATACAAAATATTTCTAGAATATTAATTTCCCAACACAATACATATTAATGTCAAACAGATATTGTAATCAATGTTCTTCCTTACTAAATGTCATTGAGATTTTTTTAGCATTAGATAAACATCTCTCCAGTAACCACACACCAACATTCTACTCTGTTTTTATAAATCTGACTTTTTAGATTATACATATAAGTGAGATCATTCATAAGTTCTCTGACAGTCTTCTTTCATTTAGTGTCATGTTATCCAATTTCATCCCCTTAATTACAAATGGCTGGATTTCATTTTTACAGGCTG